TATACTGAGAAGCAAGTGGTATAGCAGTTTTGCACCTAGCGTGGGCCTTGGGTTTGGCCTGCGCCAGAGGCTGCCAAGCATTTTTCGCCCGAGCGGCTGTTACCTCTTCGCACGTGAGTCTGCCAAAGCCAGTGCCCAAGGTCCGAGCAAGCACCACTCTGCGATGGTTGGGGGTTACCTGTTCCACTGGGAACTGCTCAGATGCTATGAAGCACAAACCAGCCAACGAACAAGTAAGACGGCTCATTTCTGGCTTGCAACTCGCTTCTCGGACGATTGGGCACTCCTTGCGGCAGATTCCAATGGTCTTTCCCCGCTGGGAAATGGAAAACTTGCGCTTGTAAGCCTAAACACTTTAAAACTCCACATGTGGTGGTTGCCAATAGCTACATCCCTATCTGGAAGGGCCCCCCTTTATCTGGCTTGGTCTTTGACCACTGCAAAAGGTGTGACTGTTGCGCTAGTTTGTTCAGGAGGCGGCAAACAGTCATGTTCCAGAAGATTCGAAGGTGCAACATCCAGGTGAATCAAAACATACATCCAACGAACATATCATACTCCCCAAAAAAACATTCATCGTCACAAAGTCACCCCCAGCAGGTCGAAACACAACCAGTTGACCCGCACGGTCATCTGCGCCGCTTTAAAGGCGGCCGCGAGTCGCGGCCATCGGGGCCGCGCCGCTTCGAAGGCATGTCGCTATCTCGCCGACTGTCGCGGCCTCTGAAAGAACCTTAGCCACGGCCTGCCCGAGCTCGCCCGAGCTTCTGCGCAGGAAAGGTTCTGAACAGCTTGGTCTATGTTCAATCTTCACCGGATTGAAACTACATGTATGCTACCAAAGGTTGAGCCAGAAGTTCTCCTGCCATTCAGGGGGAGACTACTTGTAGGCCAGGTCAGCTCAAAGCTTAAACACTGTCGGTGAACGCTACGGCCGGATACTTGCCAAGTTTGTGGACCAAAGCAACCCCTATCAACTAAAAAAAAATATCGCTGGATCCTGCGGACAGGTTGCCTGCGTGATGTGCGCGTTCCTCAGGTCTTCACTCGGACATCCGCGTTGGCCAGACCAAATGACATCCGCAAGTCCAGCTTGCAGTGCAATAGAAACATAATGGAAACCGAAATGGGTGTTTGTCAAGATGAATAACCTTTCGTTGTATGGTTTGCAAGGGAAAGCAACGTTAACAGGAGACCACCTCAAGGGTCTAATTTTTGTTGAGAAACACCCAAATTGCCAAAAGGTTGTGCGTGCGTCTTGCCAGCTGTCAAATATGCAGGACTCATACCTCTTGATCAATTCCACGTAAAATGAGGTAACGTCGAAGGCACGAGAATATATCACCTTTGCGGCCAAAGGGGCCTTTTGAAGGGGGAACTAGTGTCACCTATGCCAATGACAACATCTCACACCTCTGTTGTGGAGACCCCCACACTACACTCCTTTGGAAACTAAATAGACCTAGGAAAATAGGGAAAGGGCTGTCACATGCCGTTTCGGGGATGATGGTAAGGACTCCGCGATGAGACTCTTTGAGAGGGGATCCTAGAGACATGCGAACCAAAAACCGATTTGCATGGGCCCCGTGGTCTTTCTGGGGGCCTTCAACGGCTCCCCCTCCGCTCCATCAGCCAACAAGTATGCGAGCAGATGCCCACATGCAATGGCACAAAACAGGTTAGCTTCTCCTTGATCTGATTTTGAAACAACTCAAAAGGCTACATACCCTCGAAGACACACCCACGTGTAGTTTGCTAGTCCCAGCGTCGCGCTCAGAGACCAATACAGCCGGACTCTTCTCGACCAAACCTGGCCCTGAAACGTGTGGTGGCGATATCGGGCTTGCTGGCGATCGCGGCGATGCTGGATCCGCGGGTGATGTAGCTGACATTGGCGACTTCGCCTACCAATAGCCATATTCAGTACCCTGGATCATAAATCAAACTGCCTGCCGTTTCTTATTGTTCGTGTGTTTCCTGACAACGCGCGGGCATCCGGTGTTGAATTGGCAGGAAGGGTGTGCCGGCAAGAAGTAGTGGTAGCAGCAGTAGTGGCAGTAGTAGAAGCAACAGCAGCAGCAGGAGGAGCAGTTTTAGCAGTAGCAGTAGCAGAAGCAGTAGTGATGGTAGTCGTAGTAGTAGTAGTAGTAGTAGTAGCAGTAGTAGTAGTAGCAGCAGCACCAGAAGTAGTAGTGTGCCAGTGGCACTGGTAGTGGTATTTGGATATGGCTGTGCTTGTGGCTCTGGCGCATGCTGTTGTTGCTGCCGCTGCCGCTGCCGCTGCCGCTGCCGCTTGCTGCTGCTGCTGCTGCTGCTGCTGCTGCTGCTGCTGCTGCTGCTGATGCTGCTGCTGCTGCTGCTGTTGCTGTTGCTGTTGTTGCTGGTTGTTTGTTGTTGGTTGTTGGTTGTTTGTTGTTTTGTGGTTGTGGTTGTGGTTGTGGTTGTGGTTGTGGTTGTGGTTGTTGTTGTTGTTGTGGTTGTGGTTGATGCTGCTGCTGCTGCTGCTGCTGCTGCTGCTGCTGCTGCTGCTGCTGCTGTCGTGGTTGTGGTTGCACCTTGAGGTTCGTTGTTTGTTGATTGCTATGTGTTGTGTGTTGTGTGTTGTGTGTTGTGTGTCGTGTGTCGTGTGTCGTGTGTCGTGTGTCGTGTGTCGTGTGTTGTGTGTTGTGTGTTGTGTGTTTGTGTTGTTGTTGTTGTTGTTGTTGTTGTTGTTGTTGTTGTTGTTGTTGTTGTTGTTGTTGTTGTTGTTGTTGTTGTTGTTGTTGTTGTTCTTGTTCTTGTTGTTGTTGTTGTTGTTGTTGCTGTTGTTGTAGCTGTTGATGATGATGTTGTTGTTGTTGCTGTTGCTGCTGTTGTTGTTGCTGTTGCTGTTGCTGTTGCTGTGGCTGTTGCTGCTGCTGTTTGTGTTGTTGTTGTTGTTGTTGTTGTTGCTGCTGCTGCTGCTGGTGTTGTTGTTGTTGTTGCTGTTGCTGTTGCTGTTGCTGTTGCTGATGATGATGGTGGTTGTTGCTGCTGCTGCTGCTGTTGTTGTTGTTGGTGGTGGTGTTGTTGGTGTTGTTATTGTTGTTGTTGTTGTCGTTGTTGTTGTTGTTGTTGTTGTTGCTGTTGCTGCTGCTGCTGCTGTTGTTGTTGTTGCTGTTGTTGTTGTTGTTGTTGTCGTTGTCGTTGTTGTCGTGGTTGTCGTGGTTATCGTTGGTTGTCGTTGTCGTTGTCGTTGTCGTTGTCGTGGTGGTGGTGATGGTGGTGGTGGTGGTGGTGGTGGTTGTGGTTGTCGTTGTTGTTGCTGCTGTGTTATTAATAACAAGCAGTATAGCAGCAGAGTATAGCAAGTAAGGTGTTGACGGAGCCTGATTTATATTGTTCAAAGGAGGCAGCCATTTGAGACTTGATACGTCCAATGCTAAATACAACATCAACAATACAAAGCCCCCACTTGTGGCGAAACGTTGATGTCAATGAGAAGGCAAACAAATGAGGCTAGCACAAAAGGTATGCATCACGGGTATGAATCCAGTATCCAAAGGCATGGATCGCATGTACGGGGATCGCATGTATGGATCGCAGGTATGGATCGTGTGTGCAACTTGGTCCTTGATTCGGATCTTTTGTTTTGGCTGGCAAACTTTCAACAAATATCAAAAGGCATCCCAGTGCAGGTATAGTCACTTTACTTTCCCAGCGGCAGTGAAGGAAAACACACTTCTGGTTGTGGACATGCCTAGACAACTTGCTCAAGACTACCTGCGCTGTTTTAGGATTCGCGTCATTTGAACCTAAGCATACCCACATCATCTCTTATACCTTACTCCCCTGCAAATTAGTTTGGAACCGAAAAGGAGAGGGACCTCAAAAGAAGACGCCTCCAAAAAATAACTGTCGTCGGGGTTGCATGTGTATCTGCAGAGGAGTCTTTCAAGGCCAAGGCACCATTCGTTTTGCTTTGCCTCCCGTTTTCACATGGAGGAGCAGCCAAAGGCCTGCTTTCGCAAGGTCAAGAAACATCAATGAAGCTTGTTGCCTATGCACCTCTAAGAGACATCTGCACACAGCTAGCTCACTGGATGATGCTTGAAGCCAAAAAAAGAGAGTTGCTGTTGACCCCGAAAGTCAGTTGTGTTGCTAGCGAGTCGGCATTTTCCAAAATGTCAAGAGGTGAGTCCGATCAAACCAAACAAACCAAATTGGGAGGGCAAAAAGAGAAGATACGTCTGACAGCTAACATCTCTCCCCGCCTGGCTCCCCTCGTTCGGGCGCGGCATGGCCTTGCGCGCCGGCATGAGGTGAACCTGCCGGATAAAGTATCTCGCGTCACGTGCTCCGGCCAGAAATCAAAGAAACAACTTTACAACCCTTGGTATGATAGCATCAAACTGTGTGTTTTGCAACCCCCACTAAAAATGAGCAGAACCAGAAAACCTAACTAGCATTTAAAGTGAAAACGACTGGTTGTGGGAACCCGACAGGGCTCCGCACACTTCTCATGGAATCAAACACAAAGAGTTTCATGTTGCTACCCTCCCACCAGCTAACATTGAAGTGCACAAACCCCTGTAGAAGGACTGCGTTCCTCTTGGAAAGGGGCTTTTAGCACTTCCATGTTAGTTGGTGGGAGGGTGTTTGTTTGACCGACGGTTTCTGGGCCACAAAATGAGGGACCCACAAGACATCCATCCAAGTCTCTGCCTGAGGCTTGGGCATCGCCTTCGCCTTGGGCGTCGCCTCAAGCGGTGTGTTTTGGTTTGACCCACGTTGGGATCTAGGATCCCCTCTTGAAAGAAGTTCGCAAAAATGCATACGTCTTGGCCAAACGTGGGTTGATGACCCTGGAACATGAAGGAGCACCGAAAGGGCAAAAACACGCAAAAGCTTACTTAAGTCTGAAATATTCTGAAATGGGGGATACAGCAACATTCCTTGAAAGAAATTCTCATACGTACACTTGCTTCTGCTGAAGGATGCGCTACGTTTGAAGTGCCCTTAACAGGGATTAGACAAACGAT